GTGAGAAGCATACTGAATAGACAGTATTAGAATGACCATCTAATTTTGCTTTTTATTATCCTGTTTTAACATCCCATAATCTGATTGACTTTACATCACTACCAGATGCTAATGTTTTTCCATCAGGAGACAAACATCCTACTAAATTAACTGACCTATCATGACCATTTAGTTGAAATAGCTCATCTATTTCTAAATTTTTCCATATACAACCAAACAATTAAGCAGCATTTAGATTAATGCCATTTATATTAACATTTTCAAATTTCGATCCTGACAAATTGCATTTTACAAAGCTTCCTCCTACTAATGATTCATTTTTAATTTCTATTTTGTAAAAGTCTTGGTTGGTTAAATCAACTTTCATTTCAACCAATAATGTAAGTGAATTACTTACACTCTAGATTAAATTTTTATCTCTTTTAGTAAGATTCACCAGAAGTTTTAACAATTATAAGATCTTAATCTCCTATGATATTTTTTATATTAGATATTTTCTCGTTTCTGAATATTCATCGGATGATATATCAATCTCATTAAAATCATGTTTTTCTATTAGTTTGAAAAAATCCATAATTTATTTAATTTGAGCACTCATAGATAATGAACTTACAAACTGTGATAACTTCTCTTATTTTGTATCCAGTTAAATTGATTTACATTTTAATTTTTAATTTATTCTTTTGAAAGCCCTTCCATCATATGACTCAGTACTTTAACATCTAGTTCTGTTGCAAAAATTAACAATTCATATAAATACGCTGCTATTAAGAATTCTTAAATAGATTTATGGGCAAATGAAAAGCTCACCCCTTTTTTCTAGATTAAGGAGCAACTCCTTACATCTTTTTTATAAGATCCATTTTATTCTTCATCATTAAAAAATTCATTTAACCATTTCTCTTCTTCTCCTTCTTTGTTATATAATAGGCCCAATTATTTATATTAAACTTAAGTCAACTATTTTTGACTCATTTTGCTTGCAAGTTTAATTGAATATTGTTATATATCGTGCAAAAAACGATCAATATTTATTTATTTTCCTAGGTTTTTCTATTTTTCTATTTATTTCAGATAGTAATAGTTAATAAACTCACTGTAAAAATCAAAGGTTGTTAGATTGTATTCTTTTAATGCATCTACATTGATTGAGATTATGCTTCCTTTTTTAACTTAAACTTTATCAAATATTCCATTTGTTAATAGAATACTAGGTTCGATTATGTGCACTAGGGTGCTATTCAATCCATTGAATTCGGAAGTGACTTAAAGGTGAATTGGAATTGACTTCTCTTCCATTTTATCCCAAGCTATATGAGCAATTTGAAGAAAATCAATTTTTCTAAAGTCTCAATATCTGTTTGATTAACTTAGATCTTTTCTTAAAAAATTACAGTTTACTTTTGCAATTCTTCTTCTAATTTTTCTTAAATAACTTTTTATTACAAATCTTCTTATTTTTTTTAAATAATTTCTTGTTGTAATTCTGCTTGTTTTTCTTGATGTTTTACTAAAATTACTAAATTATTTTGCTGGGATTCTTTTTCAATTCCTTAATTAAAATTTTTTTTATTCTTTATTTATTGGCAATTATACATCCAAATCAGATACTTGCTTTTTAAGAACTCTTTGAACATTTTTGAGAAATTGTTAATGAAGTTTTTTTCATTTTACTAATCTCGGCTTCTTTAATCATTATTTAAGGCAACACTTAAACTATTATTTCCATCAAGTATGGAGTATCCACCAATTTATTTATCTTTATTTAATCCATAATTTTCTCATACTTTTCGATACTCCATAATTTTTATAAATTAATTTCCAGACTTCTGACTGCTTGCCTACTATTTAAGCCATAAACTAATCCTCCCTCAAAAATTATAAAATGCTATCTATTTATCTCGAATGCAAAAGTAACAGAGATTTTTACTTGGATCCATCAAATTTCTAAATTGCTTACTATAGTTTTTCCCAACACTATTCAAATTTATTGATATCTATAGCTCTTTTTTCAATTGATATTTTCCATTCATATATTTCATAAACCAGTAATTTGATACTTTGCGTTCTGTATTTTTTTAGATATTCCTTTGTTTGTCCCTCATCAAATTTTAGAAGCTCAATTTCTTTAAATTTTACTTTTTCTTCAGGTGCAAACCAGTCTTTATAATTGATACTTGTAAAAATTTCGCTTCTTGTTGTAAAAATTACAAGTGGGTCTGACCAATTTTATCTAACTTTGTTATTTAAGTATAGATTTTTCTCAATATTCTCTAGTTTCATTTCATCCTAACTATCCATAATCAATAACAACCGAAATTCTTTCTTTTCTAACTTTTCTTTACATTCTTTCAATTGAAGAGTGTCAAATCCATCATTGTCTGAACGAAGTGTTTCTTCTACTGCTTAAAAAATTGGATTTTTTAAGGTTGGTAATGAAATATAAATAGGTATGAGCACTTGATTGCTTTTTTAATTAATCTCATGTAATTTCCAAACAAATTCTTCTATTTTTTTAGCCGTTGTACTTTTTCCTGATCCAGCTATTCCATGAATTAGCATTACTGTTTTTATCCCTAATTGTCCTTCTAATAAAAACTCATTCACTTCACTTCCTGCATCATCAAATTAGTCTAAGTTCATCAAATTACTTTAAACTTACTTCCCTTTCTCTTAAGTTTTTAATGGCACATAGATGGATTTAAAATTATTTTATGTTGCTTCTTTCAATACTTTCCATTTTCTAATTTCAAGCAGTTATTCAACAGATTTTCCTTTCAAAAACTTAATATCATTTCTTATACTATTGAGCTACTCTTTCATTTCATTAATTTTCCCTTCAACTCTTAATAACCCTTTTCTTATATGATTAACAAAGTCAGTTATCAATCTAAGTTATTAACCCATTTCGCTAATATTTCTTATATATTCATCCAATTATTAAGTTGTTTCATCCAATTCTTTTAGTTGTAAATCACGATTACTAAGATTAGCCTCATGACTAATTTATTCTTATAATTCATCAATTCTCATCAACATTTACTACATTTCGCCTGATATTTTATCATGCTAAGTCTACCAATCTTTCTTCAAAATCTACATTTATATATTAACTAAGCTCTCATTTTTAAGTAGATTTCTTACTCTGAAGTCTTTTTCAGAAACCCGCAATTAGATTAAAGTTTTCTAACAAAATGAAATAATAGAATCAAAGAACCCTAATTTTTGGTTTGATATTCCATCATTTTCTTCTATTTAACTATCTTATAAGTAAAGTTTTCTAACTTATTCAATCATAAATTCTTATTCCATTTTAGGATTTGTAATATATATTTGTTCTACAATTTTTTTTTGGATATACAACTTTAAAGAATTGAGAAAATCAAAAATATTTGTCTATTACTTAATAATTTCAGCATCATTTTTTTCTTTAGATAAAAGAGATGATATTCTTTCAAAGTAGAGTTCAAAATCTTCATCTTTTTTTTATTTTAAATTGATTTGTGTCTTCTAAAACTACTCAAAGTTCTTTATTGCTTCTTAAAATTAAAATTATAACATTTATAAGCATTTAGTTTAAGTTTCTTATTTTTATTTATTTATTAGAGAAAGACCATTAGAGAAATTAGTAATTTCTTCAAATAGTTTTTGCAATAATTTCTTCTCTTCATTTATTTATTATTATTATAATTATACAACCTTAATCATAAATAATAAGTTAATTTTCCAACTATTGTTACTGCTAAAATTAAAATCTATACCATTAGTTTTATCACCATCACCATTATCTTTTTCACAAATTTCTTTGTTTTCTATCTTCAATTTCTTTATTTTAATCACTTTTTTAATTGACTATTTTTTAATCTTCTTCTCTTATTATATTTTCTAAATTTATTAGCTCTTCTTTCAATAAAATCAAAGAAATATCCTTATTTTCAAATGTTTCAATTGTTTTTATTATAATTTCAATTTGATTAACCTATTAAAACTCACTATTGATCTAATTTACCTTTAAGTAATTGCTCAATTCAGACAAAAAATTTTGAAATTTTTCCTTTACAAACCTTATTTCTGATACAGATAAATTAAATTATTTGGCTTTCAGATTTTTCAATAACTCATTAATACATAGACCTTCAATAATCTTATCAATATCCTTTGAAGAAAGAAATTCCTTAATGAATAAATCTCCTAATTTATTTTCAATTAATTATAAATCTAACTCTTCTGAGGAAAGTATTTTTTCTTACATTGATAAATTGAATTGTAAGTATTCTATTAATCCTTTCTATTTGGATAATTTCTGTTTAAAGTCTTACTCTGTGAATTATACACTTTTTAATTCAGTGATAATTAGATTATTAACTTCAATTTTAGAGCAAACGATATTTTTTGGGTAAAATTTAATTACAGAGATTAAAAAATCATCAAAATTTATAAATTCAGATAATTTTTATAATTCTTATGGGCTTGTTGACGCTAGGAATCTTTCATATTATCCTTTATTTCTTAAATTAATGACTGTAAAATTTCTTCTAATACTTTTATCAAAAATTTAAGTTATTATAAGTTATTGAATTCAAAAATCTTTTATTCAAGATATTTATTATCTTAATTTTATTTTCTTGGATTAAGGCTAATAATTTTTATGATATTTTGGGTATTTTTTAAATATTCTTTGATATTGAGAATCATTTTACGAATGTTTGATATATCAAAAGATTTTTATAAATTTTCATTTAACTAATTCTTGTTTCTAAAAAAAGTTCTATAAGTTTTGTTAATACCTCCCAACTTATCATAATTGCTTTTAATAAATTTTAGTAATTTATCAGAAATAATGAAATCTAAAAAAATTTTAGATTTGAATCACTTTCAAAAGATTATTATCTTTTTAAGCTTAGACACTTCCTAGCTCGAATTTACATTTTAGATAAGCTTGAAAGGTGAAAAGGACATTTGAGTTTTATTCATTCAATAAGAAATCTTATAATAATATGAAATTTTCCCATTCTTTAAAGCAGTCTTCTAATATTCTTCTATCAAGTTAAAGTAATTATTTTTTTTTAAATTAGTTAAGCTAAATAATAGCTTCAGCATTACAGTAGTTCATTTAAATTAGTAACCCATTGTTCAAATATTGCTTCCAAATTTCTTTTGAACTAAAGCCGTAAGAGGAAGTCAGCTGATTTAATTTATGCTCTGTTAATTTAGGATGATATACCGAAATTTTCCCAATCATTTAAATCCACAAAAAATGGTTTTTCCAACTATTTGAATTTTTCACAAGTTTTTCATGTACAGTTTGAATTTTTGAAATTACCTCTCCAAGATTGTGTTCTTCATTTGAAAAATATTTTATTATTTCCCATTATAACATGTCTATTTAAAAATAAACTTCATATTATTTTCTATTGTTCTAAATTGAATTCATTTTGTAAAGAAGACAGGCTCCCTAAAATAAAGCTTCAAACAACTCAGCGCTAGGTTTCATTTATTTTATTGATGTAATTATACCATTCAAACATCCTTTTAAAATTTCTTCCTTTTCGTTACTGTTATTTGGAACCATTTCGAAAGAAGTTTTGGTTAGGAAAAGATAAATTTCCATTTATATTTGAGTTAAATCATTCTTCTCTATTTCCATTTATTATTTTAATTCACAAGTAATATTAAGAAATTCCTTTTATACATCGCATTTCATAAATCTCTCATCATTCATAATATGAAAACTAAATATAACTTTAGATAGAGATGTAATAATCTATATGATATAATAACATTTAAACTAATCTGTTCTGATGTAGATCAAACAGCTTTTTAATAATTTTCGGATTCCTTCTAATATTAAGTCGTAAGATTTCATAACCTTCGCAGCATTCTTGTTAAGCTTGTAGATAATTTCCTCTTAGTAAATAAACCACTGTATGGCTATCATTATTTCTTGAGATTCTTATTAATTTGTAGCAACAGCAGGTTTTGTGAAGATTTGTTCAACATAGAAATTGAATCTGGAGATGAAATTATCTATGTCTTAATCTTTGTCTTTTTTAGATATTTTTGTTTTTTATCTGTATTATATCATTTATGAAGTTCCACAGCCACCTCCACGCAGCAAGAATTTAGTTTTCTGTATTAACTTTGCCATTTTTATGATAATTTAAATTATAAAATCCACATGGGTATAAAATCCTTACAATGTGATTTAGGAATTTAGAAATTCTTTAAAATACATTTTATTGAACTAAATAATTTTTCCAAAAAAACTCCCTAATCATTAGATACTTATGTTCACTGTATAGGGTATCTTGTTTCTATAGATCTTTCAACTTCTCAATCATCATATTATGAAACTATTTTAATAAATCACTGTCTACAACTACCTTCAAGGATCAATAAATAAGGTTAAAATAACTCATTTTTCCAAAAATTATTTGTATTAGCAATTGATATTTTTGACAAGTTTTTAAGTCAAATTTTTATCTTGATTCTTCAATCTTATATGGTTTTATCATCACCTAATCTATACTTATAAAAAAGTTGTAGTATGCTTAATTTTTGAAATTTATTATAAAGTCAAGTTATTGTATATTCTAATTTATAATGA